AAAAAAAAAAAAAAAAAAAGGTTTCATAAACATCAGATGCGAGAAACGGGGTTTAAAGCAGAAAAGAAAGCAGGCAGGAGCCAGCATGGCAAGCTCAGCATCTCGGATCAGGGGAAGGAAGAAAGAAGAGATGGCATTCAGTAGGTATACCAGGAACTGTACCGGATGCTTGAAGTGATTGCACCCCATTTCCATGGGCAGGCACTATTGCTGAGCCCGTTTCACAGATGAGAAAACAGGGTCGGTGACTGTCATTAAGTGATTAAATGATTCCTGGCGAACTATTAGTGATTAGTTAAGCTACAAAGTGATGAAGACAGTATTTGAATTCAGGTCGTCTTGTCTCCAGGGCTCATCGTGCCCCTCCTTCAGCGGGTAAATCTTGATTAATCAAAGCTAATCACAGCGATTCCTTTCTCGTCGCCACTTACAGTTTCGCACACCATCCAACTCTGGCCAAAGGGACATGGGGCAGGGACTCTTGGGGGGCTTTTGGTAAAGTTTTCTTCTTTCTTAAAAAGAACGCCTAGAGGGGCGCCTGGGTGGCGCAGTCGGTTAAGCGTCCGACTTCAGCGGGAGGCGTCACGTCTACCATGCGGTCCGTGAGTTGAGCCCAGCACGTCGAGCTCTGGGCTGATGGCTCAGAGTCTGGAACTGTTTCCGATTCTGTGTCTCCCTCTCTGTCTGCCTCCCGTTCCTTCTCTGTCTCTCTCTGTCCCAAAAATAAATAAACATTGAAAAAAAAAAAAAAAAGAACGCCTAGAAACACCTGCCCCTGCCCCTCTTCGGCCTCTATACCTGGTTAGCATGTGAGGTCTGGAACTGCAGCAACCAACGGGCACTTATGAGAATCTGGAAGGATCAGACCAGCCAAGTGAGGGGGTGTGAACAAATATGTCTGAGTCATTGGCCTTGTGACTGTATTGGGGCCCCTAGACTAACCCACCTCCCAACAGGACTTCTCCTTGAGAGGTAAAAGCCATTTTCTAATTAGACCCCCTTTTGCTTGGGTTTTTCTATTGTATTCTACCTTAAGCATCCTAACACAGAGGAATAGTCCTTTAATAGCCTTGGCAAGATTACATTTGAGCTATGCTTACAAATAAGTCAGACCCTGACCGAGAGATGATGAGGAGCTTGACACCCCATTCCCTCTGCATCTCTCTCCCCACTGGCCACCCACCACTCACTTACCCCGTGACAGGGGAGTTGCCTGGAGAAGATCTGAAGGAAAACTCTCACTGTTATTCTTCAAATATCTTAAAAGGCTGCAATTTAGAAGAGGCGACCCGACTTTTCTGAGCTCCCTCAGATGCAAACTAGCACTACTAGGAAGATTATCAGGAAGCAGATGATAGTGGTTTGAAAAGCGAGATGACCGGAGCTGTCCTCACCAAGGACTCGTGTCTGAAGTAATAGAAAGAAAGAATCTATGCTCGCTGAGAGGGGGTACTAGCAATAAAAGTGGACACAAAGAGAAGTGGTTTTCAATCAGGTTCTGAGATTCTGTATTATTTTATATGAGATGCTAGAACCTTCCTGAAAAATCAAGTAGAAGAACCAAGTGTCTTCTGCCATCTTCCCTCTCTCCAGCTAGAGTGTTGAACCCTACCACCGAGTCAGTTCTAGGAAAGAATTGTGGGCAGGGGGATGTGAAATATAGCAATATGCATGCCCAGTAATGGAAAAAAAGAGCAGTGTCATTGAGAAGAGAAGGTAGAGAAAGCCCTTCAGGAGGAAAGGTCAGAGGGAGGCCTGGAGCTTAAAGAACATGTGAGCTTGAGTACTCTGGCCAGGCTTGGGTCACATGGTCACCGTTGACCTGTAGATGGGGTCTATTACCGGGCCAAGTGGGTGAACCGGTGCAAGCAAGCTGGGGGATGGGAACTTTCCAAATCCGTCGGCAGGCAGCGCTGTCCCCACAGCTAAATGGCTGAGGCCCAGCCTGAGCTGAGGTCCCCAAGGGAGCAAAGGGAAGTGTCTTCCAGGTTTCTAATGTGGTGGGGCTTAGTGACCTGAGGGCAGGATCTTTGACTGTTCCCAGCTGCAACATCCCCACATACACACGCAGCAGCGCAGCATTCAGGTGGGCTTGCTGATTCCTCCAGCCCTGCAGGGTCAGACCTACCTCTATTGCCAGGACCAGTCTTTACCGGAGGCAGGAGGAATTTGAGTAGCCCTAACTGTGGATTCTGAGAGACTCATGTGTCATCACGGTAACATACCTTTGTGATGCTGACCATAATGCTGGTTGCTGGCAGGGCTTCCTGTTGTTCTGAAGACACTTCCTTGCTCCCTTGGGGCCTCAGCTCTGCAGGCGGGCCTCAGCGTCATTTAGCTGGGACAGCGCTGCCTGCTGACGGACGTTTGTTCCCATCCCCAGCTTGCTTGCACCGACCCACCCACGGTCTTCGGGTAATAGACCCCACCTACAGGTCAACGGTGACCACGTGACCCAAGCCTGGTCAATCAGAGTAATCAAGCCCCTTACTCCAGGGATCGGCTCAGAGACTGGATATACCGATCAGAGCCCTTCCCCAAGTCTGTTCTAGCTGGTGAGCCCTGGCTCCTTTGATCACAAGACAGGAAAGCTGGCATTAGGCCTCGTGGCCACAGGGGGACCTGGCCTCCTCTACTCTGGTCCCTGCATTTGCCTGGTTTCCTGCACTTTCTCAGAAGTGGAAACTGGCCTCTGCTTCCCACCCAGTGAGACCCCATGTTTTCTTCTGCAGTTTGTTAGGGTTTCTGTAACCCCAAAGAGCTCTGACTCATACCCTCGCCTTTTCCATCGCTTGACAGCTGCCCCGGTGCCAGAACCTTCCATCAGCAGCCACATCCAAATGAAGTCTCCAGGATCTGTCTTTCCTGGCCCTGTGTCTAAGGGTGTTCAGCCCTGCTCTTCTGCTCTGTCTTACTGACAGGTCACCAGGCGGTGCTGTGCCCTGGCCTGACTGGAGATGAGAGCATGCAAGGCAGGGTGTGAGCCAAAGACAGGAGCACCGTGCGGGGTAAGTGCACTCATGAAGTTCACTTATTCATTCAGCAGCTACGGGTTGAGCGTCTGCTATGTTCAAGGTGCTGCATCCAAAGACTTAGCACAGGGGCTGCAAACCTTTTCTGTAGCTGGGCCAAATAGTAATTATTTTCAGTTTTGCAAGCCCTAAGGTCTCTGTTGCAACGCCTCAGCTCTGCCCTATAGAAAAGCAACCCCAGACAACATCTAGACCAAGGGGCATGACAGGGGTCCCATAAAAATGATCTACGAAAGCAGGTGGTGGGCCAGATTTGGCCGGCTGTCCGTGGTCTGCCAGCTTCTGACTTAGGACATACGGTTGGAGAAGGTGATGGGAGATAGATCCGTAAAGCCTTGAATACCAGCCAGAGAAAAATAGATGTTACCGAGTGGCTGATGGGAATCTTGGAAGACGTTTACACTGGAGAATGGCGAGTGCCAGAGGGATGGGTTGGGCATCGGCCTCCTTGCCAGGCAAGCACATGCATTCAATGAATATTCATTGAATGTCTTCCCTCATCCAGGCACCGTTCCAGGAGCAGGGAGATGGCGGTGAGCCAGGCAGGCAAGGTGCTTGCCCTTCATGGAGCTTCTGTTCTACTGAGTGTACAAGGTTCTTTATCATCGAGCCCCAGCCTCCCTCCCCAGCCTCATTTCCTTCTACTCCCCACCTATGAAACCACTCAAAATCCCAAGCGTTCCTCCGGACTTCTATGACTTTGCTGCTACCTCTTCCTGGAATGTCCTTACTGTCCCTCATCCACCTGCAGAAGTCTTTGGAGCCCCGCTGGGCTGCTTCTCCTGTGAAACCTTGCCCCCCCGCCCCCCACCTACCCCTGGGAGAGTTGGTCACCCCTCCTCCTGGGTCTCCCCGGCCCTTTGTACCTACCTCCGCTCAAGTGCTTCTCATGTGCCACTGGCGTTCTTTGCATATAAGCCTCTCCACTCTATAGGACTGTCTCGAGCGCCCGGCAGAGGGCCTGACATACACAGGGGCTCAGCGGATGTTTGCTGAATGACTGAATGAAAATAGCTTTGGGAAAGAGAGTTGTACCGGAAGAGTGATGGAGGACACTCAAACCTGAGGGGAAGGCCGTCTGCTACCTTAGGGATCTAAACACTTGAAAGATACAAGGGATCTTATTTGTGGGCTTAAAACTCCTGTCCAAGATTATTTGTCGAGTGTGAACAATAATACAGTCTCCCTCTCTGAAGCACCGTGGCGAGGGCCCCTTTGTCTGATTAAGGGCTGCCGGGAGTGATTGATGGGCTCCCGCCGGACAGCTGAAACCTCTCTCCTCCTGACAGTGCGAGTGATAGCTGAGCGGAAACTGACCCCAGCTGACACACTCATCTTAAAATATCTTTGTCTCCCTGCGGCCCAGATAAAATAGCTGTCGCACTAAAAGTAAGGGCTCCACTCGGGGGGACGCTGGCTTCTCCCAGGACTGGTGATGGAGTGGCCTGTGATGTCAGGGTTCAGCCGAAGTCCAAATCAAAAGGACCCTAAGAAACCGGCCCTAGATGAATTGTGTTCCAAAAGCGGCTTGGTGTTCAACCTCCCAAGGCTGGTCCGGGAAGAACGAGGTACGTCATCAACAACGTCAGGGAGAGTTTATTCAGCATGTATTGGCCTGTGGTGCTGGGTTCAGTTCAGATCAGAGAGAATAATGTAGACACAGGCCTTTCCCACTATACCCTTGCACGCACGCAAAGGAGGAGAATGACCCCAGTCGGTGCCATGGGCCTTTTTGCCTCACAGAGAGCTTTCAGCAGCAGCAACGTAGGTAGAACAGGTATGAACATGATTTCCACCTTAGAGGTGAAGAAACCAAGGCTCAGAGAGGTTAAGTGTCTCGCCCAAGGTCACACAGCTAGAAGGGTCGGAGCAGGGATCCATGTCGGGGCTGGAAACAGCATACTCAAGGGGATAATTAGAGAGGGTTCCGTTTAAGGATTCCTTAAAGAGCTAGGGGCGGGGCTGAGGAAACAACCAGGAAGGAACCCTAAGTGTGCTAAGGAGTGTCCCCCCAAAGATGATATGTTGAATCCCTCACCCCCTGCCCCTGCTCCCGAATGTGACCTTATTTGGAAATGAGGTCATCACGGATGTAAATAGTAAAGAAAACGTCATGCTGGAGGGGGGCGGGCCTGTGTCCAATATGACCCGTGTCCTTACGAGAAGAGACAGAGACGTGAGGGGAGCACGCCCTGGGAATACGGAGGCAGACACTGAGGAGGTGTGCTGCCAGCGAGGAATGCCACGGCCCCCAGCCCACCACCCGAGGGAAGGACGGGCTCTCCTCTGCAGGGCTAAGAGGGAGCAGGGCCCTGCCAGCCCTCCTAGCCCCCAGAACTGTGAGGGGATACGTTTCAGCTAAGCCACCTGCTTTGTGCCGTTTTGTTATGGCAGCGCTGGGAAAGGAATTCCCTGAGGTCGGCCACACTGCCCCACACCCAGGCCTCTAGGGGTTCGTGTTATAGGAGTCTGGGGAGGGCGGGACCCCCCAGAATAGGGCCTGCCCGACAGGACCGGTGACCCAGCCACTGCCCCTCACTGTCCCCCAAGGAAGGAGCCAGGCAGACAAGCGTCCTTCCTCCAGGCTCCCCTCAGCCCCTGGGGAGGAGCCGGCAGACAGGAGACCAGGGCTGTACGTTTGCCCCCATCAGCTCCCTGGGTCTGAGTGAGAGAAGGTGGCAGAAGGTGTGGTGAGGACCAGGAAGAACAACTCTCCAGCCCTCCCCTGACACTTGCCTCCCACCCACGTGCTCCTTCAGGAAGGGTCCCTGAAGAAGTGGAAGGACTGCTTGTGCTCTTTGGGGACCCTCTGGCTTCACGATGACCACAAATGCATGAAAAATGGCAAGAGGATTAACACAGGCCATAAAGAAATAAGTGCACGGGGAAGCACATGCTTGGAGTTAGCCGAACGCACGGGGGTCAGGGACCCCGCTGATACCCCGTTGTCCCCAGTATAAAATAGGAGGCTGTGGTTCCAGCAGGTCAGAAACAGGCCTGGGGAAGAAGACATGGGTGGGATTGGGACCCATTGGCCTGGACAGTCTGGCCCAGGCTGGAGAAGGAAGAAAATTCTGTGTGTGTGTGTGTGTGTGTGTGTGTGTGTGTGTGTGTAGGGCGTGGAGCAGGAAGCAGTGGGGGAGGCGGCCACCCTGCTCCCTTCACCCAGCAGGCTCAGGGGAGGCCTGGGCTTATGCGGGGCTTCTGTGTGGGCCTTGAGCTGCCCTGCTCCGTGCCCTAATGTCTGACTCCCGCTCTGGAAGCTGGGGGAAACATCTGTCTTGTTCACACTGTATTTCTGAGGCATAGCACGGGTCCCTCGTAAATATTTGTTGAACAAATGAAAGTGTAAGACCCCAGAGAGAGAGAAAGAGAGAGAGAGAGAAAGAGAGAAACACTGAGGGGGAGGAGAGGGTTGAGGAAGGGACATCACCTAGGGGTAGACAGAGGCAGGTCACACAGCAGGCCCCAGTTTGCAGGGGCTTCTCTTTGAAGCCAGGGCCCCCCCTGTCTACTGGGTACCCCCACCCTTCTCAGGCATACCTTGGAGAAACCGGCAGGCTGAACCAGAGAGAGCAATCTGTCCCCAGACCCAGGCCTCACTGTCCCCACTGCAAATTGCTGGGGCTCCCCCAGGCAGGTGGCCTCCTGGGGCCCCAGCACCACGACCGCCAGGCCCCGGGGCCCATCCACACAGCAGGGCTCTCAGGGAAGCAGGCAGATGGACCGGAGCCTGAGAATGCATGGGAGCTCCTGCTAGGCCAGTAAAGGTCACAGGGACAGGGACGGCCTGCTCCAGCAGACAGACAATAACCGGGGAGAAGGCCCCCAAAGACACGCAGATGGAAAGGTCTGTCCTCACCAGAGTGCTTGACTAAGAGACCGTCCTTCTCCGGCTCGGACTTAAGCTGAGGCTTTAATTATAGCTTGTCACTCACGCGCCTTCCCCGGGAGATGGCCGGCCGGATGGCTAAGGAAATGAAACTCTCGCTTCAGATGGCTCATTCTGTCTGTCAGGAAATTTCAAACCCACAAACAATAGTATCTGCGACTGTGGCAGCGAGGCGCCTCCCGAGGGCTCCTCGTGCTCCCCTGCCCCCTGCAGGCCCCCCGGCCGTGGCCGTGAGCTCATTCCTGCGGCAGGGCGGGACCCCCATCACAAGAGGCCATTCCTGCTCACAGACCGAGAAACTCGGCCCAGTGAGGCAAAGTGACAGGCTCAAGGTCACCCAGCAGAGGGTCGGTGGGCCGGGGAGACCCATGAGCATTGCTTCATGGCGGACTCTTGGTCTCTCTGAAGATGCCCCAGAAAGGAGGGCCCCAGCCATAATGATGCTAACAGTTTGTCACCGCCTGGTGCCAGGAGCTGAGGCCCTGTACGAATCACCCCACAATCCTCACGGCAGCCCCCACAAACTGCCTATAATTACCTTCACTGTTCATAAGGAAAAACCAAGGCTAGAGAGCTTGTTCGAGGTCACACAGCTGGAATCAGGACTCGACACCAGGCTTTCCAACGGCAGAGCCTAAGCTCTTCACCCCCACGCTCTCTCCTTGTGCCTGTCCCTGGATAAGGACATGGGAGACCTGGAGTTCTTTCCCTTGGCCTCTGCCAGGAGACACAGATTGTTTCTGGAAGCATTCAACAAGGGGCATTCCCCCACAGCACGGAGGCGGGCTGTCCTTGAGACCTAGCAGGGTCAGCTGTGAGCCGAAGGGTCCGGGGAAAGGGGTGCCCTTGCATCCATCCCACCAGGTTGGCCAGATGAAGTCCTGCAGGCAGGGAGGGGGGCTGCGGGCTCAGGCCGGGCTCTGGGCAGCTCAGCCGAGACCTGGTGCCCTCGCTGGGTATCTTCACATCCCTCAGCCTCTGGGGCTCGGGCTGAGAATAAGGTTAGGTCCTTAAGAGGTTTGGTTGGGACGGGACATCAGCTCCCTGGGGCAGAAGCGACCTGGAGGGGCACAGGGTGTGCCCTGCGTCCCAAGCCTCTTCCAGCATGCCCCTTAGATTCCCCACTGGAGGTGTCCCAGAGCAGCACAGGGGTAAGCCACTTCGAATGACCTGTGTGGCCAAGGTGTCCACCTGGTTTGGGCAAAGAGCAGAGTTTCAGCCCTAAGACACCCCGGGGCAAGAGAGGGGAACTGCAGTGATGTTCTCATTGGCCCAGAGTCTAGGATTGAGAAGAGCTAATCCAACTTTTGCCTCCCATTTTGCTAGTTACGGGGTCCTTACCAGGTGCCTTAACCCCCGTGAGCCTCAGCTTCCTCCTCTGTACACAGGGATGACTGCCCCCTGCTTCAGGATGGTGACAAGGACTGAGCCAATAGTGCACCTAGCCCCTCAACGGTGTGGTGCTGAGGGGTGGGGGAGGGGGAGCAATCTCTAGCCCTGGGATTAGGCCTCGTTCTGTGAGCCTGGACACAAGTGCTTCTTGGCTTTTCTGCTCCCCTTAAGTGGGACAGGAAGGCTCGAGGGGGCCAGGGTCAGGCCTTTCCCTTCCCCCAGGTCAGCCAGGCTCCAATAAAACCCCAGCAGGTCAGGCTCTGGTCACCTAGTTGCTCCTGAGGGCAGGGTGTATCAGGAACAGTATGTTCCAAAGTATTTCAAAATGATCCCTTTCCCATCCCTGTGCAGAAAACAAGACGGGATCTTTCTCCAGTCTTTGCCATGAGAACTTGGGAGCGTTCCGGGAGGGAAAACACACAACCGTTGCGGATGACCGGGTCCCTCTGGAGTTTTTATCTGTCTGGTTTGTCCACGCCGAGCTCGGGCAATCCAGCAACCCATCGATTACCGTCCCAGTTTTCCTACCCCAGCACTGATCCCCGCGGTGGTCTCCGCTTGAGGGTTTCTGCTCAGGAAGGTTGGGATTGTTTGCATCCTCTTGTCTCCCTTTCCAGTTTGGGGGGCATCGGTTTGGCCAGGGATCTAAAGAAGATTGTGGATTTTCTGTTTGTTCACTTCGTCCCTTGTCGTTAGGACGGAGGGGCCCCCGCCGACCTCCTGTTCGGTCCACATGCGCAGAAAGCCTGGTACTATGTGTTGGCTCCAATTTACTCCGTCTTCTGTGGCGCACGCCTCAAAGGCTCCGGTTCCTCATCTTGCTCATTCCTTACGTCCCGGAAGGAGAGGTGTTACAGACTCCCTCCTCCGGACAGGGAAGCTAAGGGCCAGAGAAGCTAAGGGCCAGAGATGCTGGGCCGTACAGCTGCTGGAGGCGAAGGTTTGCCAAAGCCCACATGTTCCCACAATGACCGCGTGCAGCTGCCCGCCCTTGTAGCCCGGCCACCCCCAAACTCCCCCAATGAGCCGAGCTCCTGGCCGCACGAGGAGGCTGTGGGACGAGTCCCTCTGCGCCTGGGGTGAGGGGTAGGCCCTCCCTAGCAGAGGGAAGGCCTCAGCAGGCCCCTCTCTGCAGCGTCCAGCTACTGGGGAATATGCTCCAATCCTTCCATGAATCCAGCTCCTTCCATGGTCCTGACTGAAGTGCAGAATGCCCTCCTTCACAAACCCATTTGTCATGGGAGTTGGTTAAGAAAGAAAGGAAGCAAAAAAAAAAAAGAAAAA